TGTCTTAGCAGGAAACTGGGAGACTAAAGCCTTGCTGAAGGGAGACTGCTGAGAGCAGGGAGTGGAACGGATGGGTGAGAAGGGAGTCCAAAGCGGTGAGGACAGTGAAGGGGGCCACAGTGTCCACTGGAGTCTTGACCGGGAAGAGAGAAGAAGCAGAAAGACAGTGACAAGACAGCCTTTGCCCAGAATGTCCTTCCTTACGCTGTCATTGAGGGCTCTGCCAGGGTGTCTGGACTATGCCAGGGGTGATGCCAATTGCCACTATACATAGGGCACTCACTCAGGGGCAGTATGGATGGGAAAGCTGGCAGCAGGGGTGGGGATGGGGACTTCTGAACTCTTTCAGCAGGGCTGGACTAGGCTGCCTTCTCCCGCTGGGGACCAGGCTCAGGCCACCACATGGAGTGTGCTCAATACATAGTAAATGGCTGTGGTAAGCTATGAAGTGGCTCTGGAATAGAGCTGAGCCACCACTGTTTATGAGTGCCTCTTGTCCTGTGCTGGCATGGCAGACTGGGTGACTCCTCCTTTCCTGATGGGGAAACTGAGGCTCCGGGGCTCCAGGGCTTCTTTCCCACGGTTGCCTGGAAGGCCAGAGGGCGGGGTTCAGATGGAAAGCCTCAGTTCCAGCTCTGACAGCTCTCTGAAGCTCTTCTGTCTTTGGTGTCGGAGAAATGAGGGGAGTAATGATAAGCTTCCAGGAGTGGGGCAGCTCACAGTTTACAAAACTGCTTCCCATCCATTATCCCATTTGGTCCTCGTAGCAATGTGTTATTATTATTATTATTATTATTATTATTATTATTATTATTATTACTCCCATTTTGCAGTTGGGGAAACTGAGGCCCAATTATTTGAGGTTGTGGTCATTCAACCATGAGTAATAGAACTAGAATTCCAGATGAGGGATTCCTCCTTCATCCTCCCCCCCTTTCTTTCTTTTTGGAGACAAGTCTCACTCTATAGGACAGACTAGCTTTGAACTCACGGCCATACAGGAGAGAGATAGCATTCCTGGCTTAGGACAAGGTTGACTCTAAGCCCACACTCTTTCCAGGAGGCCGTGGCAAAGGAAGCAAAGGAAAGCCAGAGCAACACAAGGGAGAGGCAGAGGGCTCCAAGGTGGGCGATGCGGCATGGCGGGCGCGGAGGGCTTCAGGTTAAACTTCATGAATGTTTCTAGGGAGCCACAGCAGATAGGGCTGTGGGGAAAGTTGTTTTATCTGCCTGGGAAGTTTTCACAGTTATTACTAGAGGGGGAATGCACAGGAGGAGCCTCTGGGACAGAACTCCCCATTTCTCACTTGTGGACCTTGGGAAGACAAAAAAAAAAAAAAAACCAGGAGAAAAGGGATAAGACTGACACGTTTGCACTTGTCTCTGAGACGCCCAGTAAATTCAATTGTATGGATAAATGGGTGGATGGAAGGATGGATGATGAGCGGATAGGTGGGTGAGTTAAGTGGAGGGTAGGATAGATGAGCAGGTGAGTGGAAGACTGATGGGTAAGTAGATGGAAGGATGGATGGGTGGGTGAGTGGGTAGATGAATGGGTGGGTGGGTGGGTGGATGGATGGGTGGGTGGATGGATGGATGGATGGGTAGATGGATGGGTGGGTTGGTGGATGGATGGATGGATGGATGGATGGATGGATGGATGGATGGGTAGATGGATGGGTGGGTTGGTGGATGGATGGATGGATGGATGGATGGATGGATAGATGGGTGGGTTGGTGGATGGATGGGTGGGTGTATGGATGATGGATAGGGGGTGGATGGGTGGATGGATGAATGGGTGGGTGAGTGGGTAGACTGATGGATGGGTGGATGAATGGATAGATAGGTAGGTGAGTAGATTGATGTTTGAGTGGAAAGGTGGATAACTGGGTGAGGTGGATGGATAGGTGGGTGAGTAGATATCTGGCTCTGGGTTTTTGTTAAGACCAATTACGATTTGTGCTACATGGGTGTGTAGATGGGTGGATGGAGGGAGGTTGAGTGAGTGGAAGAATGTTTGCAGGAATAAGATTTAGAAAAATTGTACATTGACTCAGGCAACATCTTTCCCACTCCAGGGTCCTCTTTATAATTCCCGAGGTTATCTTGTTCTTCTCGTTTTAGCCTTTTGCAGTATTTCATGTTATAAGTGACCTTCCTACCAAGAGGATGGCATCAGGACACAGCACACAGAGAGGCTGAGAAGTCCAAGATGGTAGATGAAGTCTGTCCAGTTCACCAGCATCTCTAAAGTCTTGCCTCCACTGAGTCAGGCTTCCTCAGACTCAGGCCCTGAAGAAGCTCGAACTGCCCCTGTTGGAGGGGACAGTCACCTTCCCATGGGGTGGTCAGTGTGGCTTTTGTGGCAGAGTGTGCCTAGAAGGACTCAAGAGCTACTAATGGTGTTTGTTCAAGGTCTATTTACTCTGCCTGCTGTTTGCCCAGCGTCCTTAGAAGCACTGCAATATGGATGCTCTCAAGCAACTGGGAAGGGTAGGGTAAGGCCAAAGAGTCAGGCATGATCCAAACTGGACTGTGTCTTCATTGCCTGCCCATCCCAGTTACCCCAGTAGAATCAGTAGTAGTTCTGACCTTAAGACTCTTAGCCTTCTTACATGTGAACTCACTGGAACTGGGTGTCACAACACTGGATTCTAGTTCTCACTCTGTTGAGAATGTCTGCCGTAGAGTACAGCACCAGCCTCTAGCAGGTACTAACTGCATGGCCGAGGAAGGAGTGAGCGAAAGAATGAATGAAATAGCTGGTTGTGACCTTGGCAAACCATTTCCCCATTCATAATCTTGGTTTCTACATCTACAGAGTTGGGATTATGGTGATCTCTCCCTTAGTCACCCTCAAACCCCTACGAGTAAATAAATGGATAATTATAAATGGTGGATAGGCACCAGAGTTCTAGGCCCAGACAGGTCAGGAACCACACACACCACAGCTGATGATAACTGTGAGGATCAAATGCAGTGGTATGTTGGGTAGGGTAGCACATACCTGTAACCTCAGCACTTGGAAGGCAGAGGCAGGAGAAGGATTAGTGGGGGTTCAAGGCTAGCCTGGGCTACATAGGAAATTCTCAGATATCCAGGGCTACTACATAACAAGAACTTGTCTCAGAACAAAATAAAAGGCAAAACTTACATTCAAACCACCTAGTTTAACTAACTAAAAAGTGTCCCTCAAATTTTAAATAAAATTTAAAATTTTTTAAAATTACATTTATTTTGTGTGTGTGTGTGTGTCTGTGTCTGTGTGTGTGTGTCAGTGTGCACATGCATGTGCCCATGTGAGTCTGTGTTTGTGCACGTATGTGTCTATCTGTGGATGGGAGCATGTGCATGTGTATGTGTGTGAGTCTATCTATGTGTGCATGTTTGTAGGTGAGAGGAGAGCTTGTAGGAGTCAGTTCTCTCCTTCCACCATGTGAGTAGAGTCCTAGAGGTTGAACTAAAGTTGTCAGATTTGGCAGCAAGCTCCTTTACCCACTGAGCCATTTTGCTGGTCCTGAGTGATTTTTTTTTTTTTTTTTTAAGATGCGGTTTTGCTGTGCTGGCCTGCCTGATTCAAACAGTCTTTTTGTTCCAACATCTCAAGTGGATGTGACTATAGGCTTAGCTGTGATTTCTTTTCTCCCTTGAGACAGGATCTTGCTAAGTAGCTTAGGATGGTCTTAGACTTGCAATCCCCTGTCTCAGCCTCCCAAGTGCTCAGACTGTAGGCATGTGACCACCTCGCTTAGCTTTGGATATGATTTTTATTGACGCTCTTCTTCTAGAAGTACTGATTTAACATGTAGGAGTGGCTGTAGGGCTGGGGCAATGGTTCGCTGGGTAAAGTGATGGCCATGTAGGCACAAGGACCTGGGTTCTGGTCCTCAGTACTCTTGGAGAAAGCCAGGTGGGGAAGTGCTCACCTGTGACATCAACATCAGGGCTGGGAAGACAGGAGGATCCTTGAGGCTTGCTGACTAGCCAGCCCAGTCAACTAGGGAGCATCAGGTTCAATGAGAGACTTGGCCTCAAGACATGAGGTAGAGGATGATTGAGGAAGACATCTGACGCTGATCTCTAGTCTCCATGTGCACCCACACATGTGTGCACATGAACATACCACACACACCCAAGGGACTGGGTTGTAGCTCAGCACCATGAAACACACACACACACACACACACACACACACACACACACACACACACACACACACACACTCACACAGAGCTGTGGTGCTGGGGATTACGATTCATAACATGCAGTGGGCTGGTGAGATTGCTTTGGAGGAAGGGTCTCCACGGTTGCATTAAGAACTTGGAGAACTGTCTGCTTCATCTCTGTGATTCTGACATCCCCTCACCTAGCCGGTCCTAACCTGCTGTGCCCTCCTGATTGTAGTAGGTCATGGGTTCCCTTTCCACTCCCATAATCGACCTGCAATGTCTTCTCCTAATGATCTCGCTGGGGAGAATTCTCTACAGTACTTGGGAGGTCCCTCCTCTGCCCAGTTTCAACCCAGGGCCTGGTGCTGGCAGAGTAAAAAAAAATGCCCCGTTTTATAGTCAGCCCCTTGGAGCCTCTCATGGAAATACTACAGACCCTTCAGACTAGACGCCAGCCTCAGTGGCAGCGGGCGCCGTTCTAAACCCCCAGCTTTGTGCTAAATATAGTGGCAGGAGGGAAGGTGGTGTGGATTTGGGGGGAATCTAAGCAGAGGGAGGGAGTCAGGGAGGAGAATGGGAGGGGGAAGAGGGGCGGGAGAAAGGAAAGAGACAGTGATGATGCGAGCGAGAGAAGTAAAGGAAGGCAGAAACGATGCCGAAGAGGTTGGAAGCAGTGTAGACGATGCAGGAAAGGAAGTCAGGCTGAATGAGGGGAGAGAGACAGAGAGAGAACATGCAGGCTGTGCGCCCAGCTAGAAGTGAAGCTCAGCACAGGTGTCAGTGGGGTGAGGACGCCCAGAGCGCAGAGGGAAGGATCCCAGGCCACGCCCCCATCTGGCTAGGCCACGCCCCCATCTGGCTTGCCAGCTGGGAGCCCTCTGTTGGAGTTTATATGCTGCAGCAATGGTTGACTGAAAACGACACAACTTTCCTGCCCCGAGTCTGTCCCCACACAGGGACCAAGGTTCAGCTTAGCTACCTCTGCAGACTGGACCCAGCCAGCTTCCTGCAGTCTGGGACCCAAATTGGATGGAGCTTTTCCGAGATGGTGGTGGTGATGGTCGCCATGGGAAGGGTCAAAGTAGGCCTGGCCGGAGCGAGAGTGGGATTATGGTAGAGCCTAGTGAGAAGGGCAGCCTGGAGGCACCTGAGAGAATCTGTTCTTGTGCCTTCAAGTACTTATCTCCTCTTGGCCTTGGGAGGCCTTGTCAGTCTGTTGAATTGAGCCAGAGGAGGCTGGCACTGTGAGTGGATGGTTCTGGGAAGCCAGAGGAACACTGTAGACAGTCACCTGGGAGGAGCAGCAGCACTTGGGGATTTCCAAGGCTTGGGCAACGCACTGTATTTCCATCTAAGACTTATGTGCAAAGGCAAGACATGCTTTCCCAGCAACTACCAGCCCTCCTTGGAGATAGAGACGGCTTGTATGTGATCAGGGCTCCTGGCTGGGCCAGTGAAGGACAGACCTGGGGCACTTGGGGTAGGGAGAAGGGGCTGGCAGCCTTCTCAGCTCTAAGTAGCGGTTCTCAGTAGCTGCTCGGGAAACGCTTGTGGGTGGTGATACAGAGCAAGAGGACTGAGCACCTGGGGAGAGAGGACAAGACTGGACCGCTCTCTTTTCTGTCTGTCTTATCCCTTTCCCCTTTCCTAGAGGCTGGGGTGAGGGTGGAGAGGGAAAAGGGAAACCTCCAGTTAGAGGACACGGGGAGATAAATGAGTCCTGTCGTCCTTTACCCAGGCGCCCCAAGAGCAGAAAAGTCCCTCTCCCACATGGGAAGAACAACTATTATTTATGAGCCTGTCTGAAGTGGAGCTCCACATGAGGAAGAACAGGGGTGAGTTTTCTTACAGGCACAGGAGGGCCTGCTGGGGAATTGAAGGGTCAAGGGACACCTTCCAGGATAGAGGAAAGAGGAAGAAATGAGATCTACTGCAGTGAGAAGTCTGAGCTGCCCAGTCCGGGAGGTGAGAGGAGAGGTCCTTGAGAGCAGGAAGGACTGGGGGTTTTCTGACACCTTTGTCCTCAGAGACGGACTATCATGCCTCTGCTAGTGCTGACCTGTCCAGAGTCCAGAGCCAGGAGGAGAGACGAAAGCCCCTGACCAGCAGACACACACCTGTAAAACCTGGGAATTTGTACTGGGCTAGGAGCCCTGCATAAGGGGGCTGGAAACAGGAATGTCCCCTCCCAGGTTTGGGTGTGAGAAAGCACCCCAGCTGTTCTGGGTTGGGGAGGGAACACTGAGCATTGAAGGCCTCCAGAGAAAGAGCCTGGGCAGAAAGGGGAGCATGCGGGGTGCGGGAGAGGAGTGGGAATGGGAAGGGGCAGAAGCGGCATTGGTTAGGGGGTGACATTTGAGATAGGGGTGGGGGTCCAGCCACAGCAAGGCAAGGCAGGGCAAGAGGTGAGGCTGCAGAGCTGCAGACAGGAAGTGCAAGCAACCCAGCTCCTGCCAGGTGGGGAAAGAGACGCACCAGGAAAGGAGGAGGAGGAGGGCCAGGCTCAGGAAAATGGGGAAAGAAGAGGAGGTAGGTGAGAAGGCCCAGCTGGCAAATGGAGCATGGGAGAGAATAGAGCGGCCTGGGGTCTGATGGGGAGGGAAGGGTGTGTGGGTGGGCAGCCATGACGGGAGAGCAGTTGAGCCAGCAAAGGGAAGAGTACTGCCCCCCCCCTTTCATTTCAATTGCTATCAATAATACATTCCCAAGGAGCCGCCTTTGACAGCAATTAAAAAAGCATTTATGCTCCCAGAGAGAAATCGGAATGATTCCCCCCACCGGCCTCCCCTCTCCAGCAACAGTCCCTCGTGATGATTTCCCTGGTGGTGTGTCCAAACTGGGGACACACGAGGGAGGGGAATGGAAAGGGGCCAAGGAATATTCTCTCCCTCTCCCTCTCCGAAGGCGGACTAGCTGAATGTTTTATACCAGGCTCCTCCAGAGTGTGGGTGGCTGTGGGGAGGTAGGGTATGCAGAGGCTGGGGATTTTAAATACACAACTAAAACCCTTTTCTGATTACCAAGCCTCGTGGAGCGGGGGTGGGGGGGTGGGGGGTGGGGGGTGGGGGGGCAGGACGCAGGCGGGGGGAGGGGGAGGCTGGGCCTCATCAACCTGCTGGTTGGAGAGGACTTTTGTTTCTCTTTGCTGAAGGGCCAAGAGTCTGGGAGGTTGAGCAGGGTACCGTTCATTTTAGACCTTTGCTGAGCCGCTGCAGTACATCAGGACCCACTGCTTGTGGTGAAGGTGCTTTACCACGGGACAGAGGCAGGTCAGCCCTGCGGGAGAAGGTTGTCAGACATGCAAGACCCTCTCAGAGAACTGGGTGGCTGTGCAGTTGGCGGTAAGGGGACACAGGGAGGCCAACAGACAGCCTGGGGTGGCGGTGTGGCTCATACCTGTGATCCTGGCACTTACGAGGCTGAGACAGAAGGATAGATAGCCTTGAGGAGGCTAACCTGGCCTTCAGAGGGAGACTGTTTCAAACAAAATGAAAAAAGTCCAATCCAGCAATAGTGGAGAAGAAAGGAGAGGAGGAAGGAATGGGGAGGGGTGGGGGCTGGGGCTGGGGAAAAGCTCCTGCTTGGGAATCCTGCCCGTTTGCTAGGAAGCCTTTCCTGAGGGTTTTGTGCCAGGCACTGCATAGGTAAAACTTCTCTACTCAACCCTTGCAAGGACCCCACAAGGGGCACACTCTTCCACCTACCAATGAGAAGCCAATGAAGAAAGAGCAAGTGTGTCGTTCACCAGGGGTGGCAGAGGGAAGCGCCAGCGCCAGGGTGGAAGCCTTCATCTACCCTCTCACTGTCCCATGCCACTTCACATGGAGTTGAGTTCCAGCAGCGATCTCCCATCTGGGATTCCACCTGAGGGTGACCTTCCATATCTGGGGAGCTGAGTGGTACCGTGCATGATTAGCAGGCATCAGTGAGGTCCTGGGTCCGGTCTCCAGCACCCTTTACCCTCCAAAAGGAAGGAGAGACTGAAGGCTGGCCTCGTGGCATGTGCCTGTAATTGTAGCACTCTTGGGCAGGAGGATCACGTTTGAGGCCAGCATGGGATCAAAAACACGGAACAACAGCAAATCCCCAAACAACCTTCGAAGGGGACTGGTTCCATGGATTTATAGACAATGGAATATCTGCCGGTTATCAAGAGAGATGAGAGCCCTTTGTGTCTGAAGACAGACTAATCCCTCAAACATATTGTTTAGTAAAAATAAGTGCAAGCACATAGCAATATGTATAATTTCCTGCCATCTGTGTGAAGGGGGAAAGAAGGAGCATTTCCATACAGTTACTATCTTGCATGATGTATCTTCTGCTTCTCAAAAGGGCCACTAGGCTTTGGGACACCAACTTGCAGTACTTGGGAGACAGCAGCAGGGTAAGTTCAAGGCCAGCCTGGGTCACTGAGTAAGTTCAAGGCCAACCTGGAACCTCAGAAAGACTGTCTCAAAATTAAAAAAACAAAACAAAGAAGGGCTAGAGCACACCACCATTATTTGCCTCAAGTGTCAAGGTACATTGTTTAACCCTTTGAGTCCCTTTGCCGTCTGTGATTGGGGGTTCCCCTTCCTTGTGGGTCTTTTGCTAAAAAAGAGGTTGACACAGGGTTTCGTAGATTACTGACACAGGGTTGTGTAGATTACGGAAAGGAGCTGGCCATGAGAAAGGCTGCTGTACAACGTCCTGGGTCTCAGGAGCATTGTGAGCACACCCCTGCCGCTAAGATCCACTGTTGTTGGAGTTGCATGGGTGAGGAGATGTGGAACTCACCAGGTAGGGAGCCCTGGTTTAGTGCCAAGCAGCCCTGACCTGTGCATGCCCCCCCCCCCCCCCGACCCCAGGAAACCCCAAGGTGCGTCCATGTCTGAGTAGAATTCTAGGCTTTCTCAGCCTCTTTTCTTCAAGCAGCTTCCCATTGTCCCCAAGGACCAGAGGCACTGCTGTTGGAGGAAGGCCACATCAGAGCAAACACGGGCTGAGCAGTGGCGGGGATACGTGGAGACCCGAGTCAGAAGAACATGGTCGAAACAGGGACCCCACATCTATTACTTTATGCCGGTGAGTCTCAATTTCCTGCCCTGCTGAATGGATACCCACCCATAAAGACCAAGTACATGGTAAAAGTCCAGGGATAGCTGTGTGAAGCTTGCTTTTTTATCTTAGAATCTTAATATATTTTCTCAGTACTAGGTATCAGATAGAGCTTCATGGGGTTAGGCAAGGACTCTACCCTTGAGTCACATTCTCCAGACCTTGGAATGGTTTTGATACATATATCATAGAGGCTGATAAAGGGGTTGGTAGACAAACTCTCCAACCATGCTAAGATCAGTCTGGGCTTTCAAAGGAATCTGATCTGATTAGGACAGGTGCTGGCTGCTTCAGCTAATTAAGGGGCTCAGCAGTAGGCTGCTGAGCATGGGCAGGGAAGGAAAGCTCAGTGGGCAGCTACAATGATGTTTCTGAGTTTTTTTCCATTCACTGAACAATTAAGAATGGGTGTCCTTATGGATTCTACTGGGAGAGTCCAACAAAAGATAAGACATAGGTGACTCTATCTTACCCTTGAGAAGTTCTCTGGCTTACATGGAGGGCAGAGGTCATTCAGTCAACCGAACCACTTGGGAAATGGCTCTGACGGATGCCCAGGGTGGATTAGCCACAGTCCCTGCTCTCCAGATGCGCGCGCAGGAGGGGTGGGGGGAGATGATTCACAGCACATGAGGCTTGATTCTTCACGAGAGGAAATTACCATTGTGCCAGCTGCTTGTGTGGGAACTGAGAAAACCGGCAAGTGGTCAGGGCTGGGGAGGCTAAGCCAGGGGAGACTTCCGGAGGAGGAAGGAGCTAACCTGGAGAACCAGGGAGCCATGCAGAGGTGTGGGTGACCCCCCCCCCTCGTCGAACATGCAGAACAGAGGATAGGTTCAAGAGGGTGACACCTGATGAGGTAAACAGGAGGGGAGCTGGCAGAGAGACAGGAGCCAGGGAGCAGATGAACTTTCCCCCAAACCCCCTCTGGCCAGGCAGCTGTACCCTGCTGTGCACGGGGTGTCCATCATCTGCTCCATATTCTTCCCTGCTTTACTCAGGCATTTATCTGGTCAACATTAGAGTGAATAGGAGCCATTAACCCTGGGCAGGGACAAGAGCAGGTGTCACGGGGAGATAAAGGCACAGATAAGCCCCGGCAGTTGTGAAGGTCTAGTCACTAGACTGTCGTGGCCACCTGACTTTTGCGGACCTCAGCCTAGTCCAGAAAGCAAGGAATCGAAGCCTGGCTGGTCTCTTCCTTAGCTTTGTGTCTGCATTAAAGCCCGCCCACGCCAGGGGCGTGCTGGACCTCCTGGGAGCCAAGCCTGGCAGAGTCAGATAAATATTGATTGTCTGTTCAGCCATCCGTGCAGAGAACCAGAGAGGCTGGGCAGGAGGGGGAGCCTAGTAGGCGGTCCTGATGTGAGGGAGTTGGGCGGGTCCCAAGGCTGAGAGGAGCGGCAGGTGTCCTAGGGCGGTGAGCACCCACCCTTAGGATCTGGAGCTGTTGTTAGCTGCCCAGGGTGCAGGGAGCATCTGGATGAGCATCGGCTCCGGCAGACTGGTCTGTAAGCTAAGAAAGGCTTAGAGGCCATTGAACTGTTTTCAGTATCTCCTTGTATGGCTACACCGTTCATGACAGTTTTCTCTGGTGACTTGAGTGGTCATGGGACCCTACCCCAGCCTCAAGAAAGACTTGAGTGATCCATCGAGTCTGGAGCTGCCTGAGTGAGCGTAAGAAGCTCTCAAGGAGGGATTCCCAAACTGAGAGTAGGGGTGCAGCATTTGGGAGGTGGAGGCAAGAAGATCATGAGTTTGTGGCCAACATCCAACTACACAGTGAGCCTGGGCTAGAGTGAGACCTTGATTCAAAAAAACCAAACCCAACTGAAACACCCAATAATCAAAACGTGTATTTGGGAGGGTAGAGATTGAGGTGTGGTGACACAAACCTGTAATCTCAGGATTTGGGAGGCCGACAAAGAGTTGGAGTGACAGGCCAGTCTGGGTTCCCAAGGCCCCAGGACCAAGCAGGCTCTGCCCTGCTACCTCTCCTTCCTCAAGCCCGGCCAAGGGAGGGTGTTCTTTTCTTAATTCAGATAAACCATCCTAAGATCTGCAAGCGTAAGGAGGGCACACATCTGGCATGGCTCTGGGCACTGTCCTTGCGGCATTCTTCAAGGCTCCCTGGGTGTTCTCCGTGTTCTCGGCTCCGTTCCTATCATTGACCCCCACTCACCCCACGGGCTGAGCCTCCAGGCATGGGGGGTAGGGTGGGAGTAGGGCGAATGGGTGGGGTGGGGTGGGAAGGTTTTGGGCTTTGGGGAGAGAAGTGGTGAAGACTGCCCGCTCTGCTGGATTTTGCTTTGTTTGCACTTTTATTGTCGGTTATTCCCAAGCAAACACCCTTTTGAAGGATTTGGCACTAAGAACAAGCTAAGGTTTTCCTTAGAAATTGTTCTTTTTCTTTTTCTTCTTCAAGGTCCCACGTATGCTGGGCGAGCGCTCTGCCACCGAGGTACCGCCTCAGCCCACTGAACGTTTTCCTCTGGAGGAGTTATGGATGTGTCTAGATTAGGTGTGGTGGTACACACTTTCAGTCTCAGCTGCTCGGGGGGTGGGGGTTGAAGTGGATTAAGCTCCAGGAGTCCAAGGCTAGCCTGGGCAACCTGGTGGTACCTCTGTCTTGGAGTGGAAAGGAGAGGAGAAGCCATGGCTGGACTGGAATTCTCTGTAGACCAGACTGACCTCAAACTTGCAAATGGTTCTCTTGTCTCAGCCCATCGAATTCTGGGATTACAGGTATGGGTCATCACGCCAGGCATCTTGATGTTTTAATTTTGAGGACGGGTCTTGCTAAGTTGCCTAGGCTTGTCCTGGGTTCACTTTAGCCCAGGGAAGCTTTGAAATTGCTTTTTTCTTTACTTTTAAAACATTTTATTTAAACATTTGGAAGTTATATTTGATTTATATTCTCTCTCTCTCTCTCTCTCTCTCTCTCTCTCTCTCTCTCTCTCTCTCCTGTGTGTGTGCGTGTGTGCGTGTGTGTGTGTGTGTGTGTGTGTGTGTGTGTGTGTGTGTGTGTGTGTGTTTGTGTGTGTGTGTGTGTGTACATTCAACATGACACGCATGTTGTGGAGGCCAGAGCACAACTTACAGGAGTTGATCCTCTCCTTCTGCCCTATGGGTCTTGGGGATTGAACTAAGGTCCTTAGGTTTGCTAGCAAACGCCTTTACCCACGAAGCCGTCTCACCAGCCCACACAACATACATTTTAAAAGGTTGCTCTTGGGGACCAGAGAGATGGCTTGGAGGTTAAGAGCACTTGTTCTTACAGAGGACCTGGGTTCAATTCCCAGCGCCCGCATGGTGGCTCACACCCCCCTACAACTCTAGTTGCAGGGGGTCCATCAGCCTTGTCTGGCCTCTGTGGGTACTGCAGATACACAGTGCACATGCATACATGCGGGCAAAGCACTCCCACATAAAATAAAAACAAACATGTATAACTGCTGCTTTTGTTCTATGCATTGTGAATAAGGTCATGATATAGCAGGGAATTCCTTACATTCAACGCTTCTCTGGCGTCCTACCCACATCCAGAAGATCGGTGACTGAAACGGAAATCACCAGATTGGCACTAACCTCTTTTCTCCCCATCCCTCTCCTGTCTACTGCCCCTAGCTCATCTGGGGCTGGCAGAATAGGACCATCAGATCTCTGTAAGCACACTGGGGTGGGGAGACCATTAGCCTATAGGGAGTGGGCAAGCATACACCTAGCATCCCAGCCCACTGTGGTCATGTTATCTCATGTGTGTCTTTCAGAAGAGGACTTGTTTGACCTGGATGATGTAGGACAGGACTCTGGCCTCTTTGGAGGCTCTTGGTGCTCAACACGCAGCAGCTTCATAAAACATAGACCAGAGGCCTGAATGTGGTCATGGACTTCTCCTCTCTTCCCTTGGGGAAAAGGACTGGCCCAGAGCCTTATATCTGTGGGTTCCTGGCTATTAAGCCAGACAGGGCTGGGAGTCAGTGACCAAGAACAATGGTCTGACAGGCACTCACGTGTATTTTTTGCTCCGTTTCTGTCTAAGCATTCTCCACAGAAGGGTGTGTCACCACATTGTACTTGTTTAGGTGACCCACAGTTACTGTTCCATGGCTGTGTCTCTCTTGGACCTGTCTACCCTTCCAGAATAGAAACGTCCCAAGTGCAGTGTGATGTCTCCAGCATGAAACCCTCCGGGGGCTGCTGACCTGCTCCCTGGGTGCCTTCTTCACTTGTGTGTGTCCCACCTTCAGAACTGGGTCCCTCAGCCAGCTTGTCGGTGAGAACACTGGGCAAAACCACCAGCCTGTGTCTGCAGGTCCTCCAAAGCACTTTATGAGGACCTTTCTATTCTTCAGGGGCAAAGACGCCTGTGACACCAGAGGAGAAAACAATCTCCTTTCCCATGCATGCATCGGACTTGGGAACCCCTGGGAAATCAAGCATGTTGGCCAGACACACAAATCACAAACCTGGAAATGGCGAAGTCGGGCTTCCAGTGCACAGGGCTTTTATCTCTGGCTGTCAGCTTGGCCCCCACGCCTATTTGATGGAATTTTAGCAACTTGGAAAAATAGCTCAGTGCATCAGTAAGAGGTATAGAAACAGCCTCAGCAGCCCCTTGGCTGGTGGTTTTAGCAGCTCTCACTCCTACTGATGAATAATTCAGTTTGTCTGTGTAGTGGAGACAGGTCAGACAAGGGCTGTGTGCGTGCGTGCGTGAGAGCAAGCGGCCGCTCTAACCCAGGCAAGTTTCCAAACACTCCAAAGGGGCTAAAACGCCAGACTGAGAAGTGGAAGTGGTGTTGAGGGGCAGGCAGGGAAGGCTGGGGGCGGGTCTTCAGGGGTGGTGTGTGAGCCCCAGGAGGACAGGTCACTTCTTGTAAAGAACCAGAAGTGAGATCATGAAGTAAGGCACCGGCAGTGACAGAGGGGCTGTAGGCTGACTGGGTGGCTGGCTCACAGGTGGGATGGCCTGTCTGTCATTGAAAAGGATGGAGACTCTGAGAAGCCAAAGGAAAGGAAAGAGGCCAGCTTGAGCAGGGCAAGGGGGGTTGGTGAAACCGGCCATTTTGGTCTTCAGCTCCTGAGAGTAACTGTTAGCCTTTATAGGAGGCTTTACAGGGGATGGGGTTCAGAAAGGGAGGGAAACTGGTGCTGAGGAGAATGGGGAAGGTCAGCGGGGAAGGGGTGGACACCAGGAATCCAGCGAGACATGGGAGGTATCTGGGTGTGCTTAGAGAAGTCCCGAGGCCCTGGTCTTTCCACCACAGACTCAGCCCCTGGAAGAGCCAGCATTGACAGGCAAGACCCCCGTTCACATCTTCATTCGGCTCACCTGACGGCAGAGCCTGGTGGCCTCTGTGAAGGAAAGATGATGCCTTCACCGTGTCGTCATGTAGAGAGTGATGAAGGCTTGGACAATGAGGGGCTGCATACAGGAGAAGTTCCACAAGACTGTAGTAGAAAGAGTCCTGAGGCCTAGAAAGGTCACAATCCAGCGCATGCTCATGTTTGTGACGATTGCTGGTGTGTGCAAACCTCCCAGGCTGCCAACTGTACACAAGTACAGCAGTGTACACATGGCACAGAACGCTTGATAGCAACATTTGACCCTTGACCGTTTGTATGGTCACTCTCCTATATTTTTGTTTGTTTGTTTGTTTTGAGACGAGTCTTTCATAGCTCGTACTGGCTTTGACACTATAGTCAAAGACGACCCTGAACTTCTGATCCTCCTGAGTTTAGGGTTACATGTGTGAGCTGGTTTATGTAGTGTTGGCATTTGAACCCAGGGCCTTGTACATTGCCGGGTAGGCACTCTGCCAAGTGAGTTACATCTCCAGTCCTGTTTCTGTTTGTTTGTTGAGATGGAATCTCATACTGAAGCTCAGGCTGGCCCTGAACACTCAGTCTTCATGCCTTAGCCTCTTGAATGTTGGGATTACATAGATGTGCCACCATGTACATTCTTTCTTTCTTTCTTTCTTTCTTTCTTTCTCTTCTTTCTTTCTTTCTTTCTTTCTTTCTTCTTTCTTTCTCTCTCTCTCTCTCTCTCCTCTCTCTCTCTCTCTCTCTCTCTTCTTTCCTTTCTTTTTTTGAGACAGGGTTTCTCTGTAGCCCCTGGCTGTCCTGGATCTCGCTCCTGTAGACTGGGCTGGCCTCAAACTCCCAGAGATCCACCTGCCTCCTGAGTACTGGGATTAAAGGTTGTGTCCATTGTGTGTACTTTAGTTCTCAACAGCATAGAAAGAGGCTGTGTTTTGGAGGCATCGTGGCAGAGATTTTCTATCCTAGTAGTCGGGAGGCTGAGGCCAGAGAACTGTAGCAGTTCAATGTAGCTAGAGTTTTCCTGCCTGGCCCCACAGTCAGGACAAATCTCTGTCACCTGCCAGTCCCACAGCCGCTCAGACCCAACCAAGTAAACACAGAGACTTATATTGCTTACAAACTGTATGGCCATGCCAGGCTTCTTACTAACTGTTTTTATATTTTAAATTAATCCATTTCTATAAATCTATACCTTGCCATGTGGCTCGTGGCTTACTGGCATCTTCACATGCTGCTGGTCATGGCGGCGGCTGGCAGTTATTCCTTACTCAGCCTTCCACTTCCTCTCTCCTTGTCCCGCCTATAACTTCCTGCCTGGCCACTGGCCAATCAGTGCTTTATTTATACAGAACGATATCCACAGCAGTTCAAGGCCAGTTTAGGCTGCCTAGTGAGTTCAAGATTAGTCTTGAACTAATTGAACTAGGGGGCCAGAGAAATTGCTCAGCAGTTAAGAGCATGTGTTGTTCTTGCAGAGGACTTGGGTTTGGTTCTAGAGTTTTTCCCCACAAGTACTGGGGATTGAGCCGTAGGCAAGTGCTCTTCCACTGAGCTACATTCCCAAGCGAGGACCTGGGTTTGGTTCTCAGTCATCCTATCAAGTGGCTCACAACCTCTTGCAACTCCAAGGGATCAGATGCCTTCTTTTGGTCTTTATGGGATGACCCACACACACACGCACACACACACACACACACACACACACACACACACACACACACACACACACATCTTAAAAGGAAAGATTAGCTAGGGCTATATAGTTAGGCCCTGTCCCAAAAATATACTACTAACAGAGACCAAGTGGAGTGACTGGCCTATACTTAGGTTTGTGTAAATACACTCTATGATGTTCCCACAGCGAGTACATTTGCATTTCTCAGCACAGTGTCCTGTTGTTCAACTGGCATGACTCTACTTAAAAAACAGACAAGCAACCCTGCCCTCCTCCCCTCTTCCTCCTCTCCCCTCCTCCCTTCCTTTCTTTTGGCAGACATAAAGACTACATCCCGATCAGTGTGTGTCTGTGAGTGCCTGACTTCATGGGGGAGAGCTCCATTATGACAAATGAAGAATAGATAAGAGGGATGGAGGAGCCAGCTAAAAACTAGGGCCTGCGATCAGGTGCCAGGGTCTAAGACAGGCACAGTGAGGTCCCTGGCATTGTATCTGAGGTGCCAGGGTCTAAGACAG